CTTGGAAGAGGACGCTCAGAGGTTCTGCCAATTCTGTGGCTAATTCCTTCAACAACTTTGCCGGTATTTCGTCAGGACCGCGCGAAGTCCCTTCTTTTAGCTTCAGTAATTCCTGTTGAACAATAGGTTTTGTGAGAACCACTGATTCAATTGTCGGGACGTCGTCCACATTACAGTGATCAGTGGGTACGGCGACTTCTCTCGTAAAAACCGACTGAAAGAACCTGGACAGATGCTCAGCCTTTTCGTCGTCCTTGTAAAGTTCAACGTCCTCATCAGTTTTTAGCATAGGGATGGGATCCCTATTGTGAGTACCTTGTCTTATGTAGTTGAAGAAAAGCTTAGGGTTTTCTCCTGCACAGTTTAAAAGGTTACCCTCGAAGTCTTGGCGGGCTTTGTAAACAAGGCACTTTACCCTATTCCGCTGAGCCTTGTACCTATTTCTGGATTCGGTTGCCTTGTCCCTAAGATATGCTTTCCACAGCTTTTGCTTACGGTTTACTTCAACTTTTAGTGAACCCTTTAGCCATCGGGGCCTGCTGGTGATTTTATTTTTCGACATAGGGCAGTATCTGGTGATAAGTTCATTCAATATGGCCTTAAGTTCTAGCCAGTCCTTGAGGACACACCCCGTAAATGCTGCTTTCCAGTCTCTACGACGCATGTCGAGACGCATTTGGTTGAAGTCACCCCGCCACATGTTGCGTCTAATCACGATGCTTTGATCGGGTACAGAGAAGAGAGAATACTCCCACTGTAGGACTACATGGTCGCTTTTTCCGAGAGGGGGTAGACAGTTTACAACATCAACGCTTTCCGGTGCCTTTATCAATACAAGGTCTAAGCAGTTGGCTAGTTGTCCTTCACGTAGTCTGGTTGGGGATAAGACGTGTTGTGTAAGATGCGATCTTTGCACAGATTTTAGGAGGCAGCGATCAAAGTTAAATTCTGAGCCCGGGGCAGAAGTCAGATTCCAGTCGATATTCGGAGCGTTAAAGTCGCCCATAATCATGACATTGGGTCGGAGCGAAATCGCTTCGAATTCCTCTAGTAGACTACTGTCTGATTGCGGGTCGTTCCTCGGTGGGCGGTAGACCGTCAGGATCTCGAGATTATTCGCATTTAAATTGGAACTAGGCAAGCGTCGTAGCTCGGAAAATATAAAGTCACTATTGTCCGTTTCACTCCCGAACACTCAACATATTGACTTTGAAAAGGATCCTCCCGGGGTTTATGGGTAGACATTAAATACTTTATTTTTTTCAGTTATAATCTTTCACTAAAATTTGTACAACCCCATGTCTTTAATTGGTCGGTAAATCCACTGGTATCATCCCCATACAGCGGCTCTTAACGTTCCCACTTCGTTTTGACCCAAAGCTATCAGTTTATGATCGCGGCGGGTTCCTCTGCTTTGACACCTTGCTGGTGGTTTGTTCGGTCAGCAAAGAAGTACTATGGTCGGCTCTAACTCGCTTCGATTATTCTCGCGTCCTTTCAATCCCCCCTCCGCGACTCGAATCTAAGCGGATTATGAACGATCGTGTTTTTTTGTTTATTCAGTGTTGGACCCCTCCTGTCTTGTCACTTCGATGGATGTTTCTGCAGTCATACGACATAGAGTATAATTGAATCTACAGCGAATAGTCTCATCCGGTCTAGGGATTCCCCCTTGATGAGGAACTTTAGAAGCCTTATATACCTGCAGGGCGGTTCTGTCTTTCATACACATTTTTTCTTCCCATGATTTGAAATTTCTTTCTCCGTAAGAACTAGCGGATCACATACGTTTTATATCTTTTCAACCGATCTTCAAGGAGTTTTTTCCACTGTTGCTTATTTTTTTAATATAAACATAGACTGGACACTGTATCTGTTTACTTATTCGATCCGAGATTTACCCGTCAATGACGTTTTCAAATATGCTTTGATTCGTAATGACAATACCTACTTGCCAGCTCAATTAAGCGGTTGGCATTATTACTGTTGGAAATTGACAGGACGCGCATCCATATTTTATCGAAGCCTGCAACAGTTTCTCATTTCAGTACCTCTCGCATAAAAGGAGTACACTTGGGAGTAGGGGAAAGCTTCTGAACTGGGTAAGGGCATTTATACGTCTGTAAAGAAAAGCGTAAAGCAAACTGAATGAACGTGATTAGTGCTGTTCATCTGTTTATGTTAATGGCAGGCTTCAGGAACCTGACTGCGGAACGATCGTATCTGGAAGGTCCTTAAAGACCCGACTGAGCATAAGAACCTTCAAAACAATCTACACCCACTTCAAACGTCGTCCGAAAGATGGCTTCCGGATTGTACTCCGCATAAGTGTGCCATCCTCCATATGCGTCCAACCAATTATGATTTGAACGACATCATAAGGCATATTATGTGGAAAGCGTCTCTATTTCCATGGAGACTCCGCAAGAGGATAACAGCGTTTGGATACGGAGCAATCTTAAGTTTCACTTGCGAAGCGTCAA